TCGGAAGAGTTGATTCTCATCTCATCATATCTCACTAGCATACATGATTGCGCCAGTATCATAGATAATACTAGAGTTGACATAAACCACCATAGAAAAAATAAATAAAATCACAAATAAACCCATTAGAAGATTATAACTAACACACTATAAAGGAAAATAACAACAAACTCAACTATCCAACTCAAATTATAGTGGATCTCGAGGTGGTGGTGGTGACCGGTGAGGGGTAAAAAGTGGCGGGATGGTGGGAGAGGTGGTTGGCAAGCAGAAAACAACAAGAAAATAGTTTTTTGGGTATTGAACAACAAGTGCGCGACAGATGTCAACGTCACACAGCTGTTCGGGAGGATAGCAGCGAAAGGGAAGGGATAAAACAGTAGCAGCAGCAAAAATTCAAGTTTGGAACAGTGATGGCAACATGCTTGGAGGACTAGAACAGTAATCAGCACTTGGGAGGGGTTGGGACTAGCTACACGGTGATGAAGTGGTTTGAAATAACTGGAACAGCAGCCAAGAATGCATAAGGGCATTCCTCGTCGCCAGAAAAGATGAAGCGGCAAGGTAACTGGATATGAGCTATTGGAAAACAGAAATTGTAAAAAAAAAAAGCCAAAAGAGGTTGCTCCAGGCAGATGCAGCGGAGAAGGGGTGGTCAGGAGCGATGTGGGAGCATGTTAAAGGGATACGAGAAGATAATCACCGCCTCGAGAGAGGATACAATCAAAATATCACTGAATCCCTCGAATATAGCACTCGAATGGAGAAAAGGATGCCAACAGTTGTCCTAAACAAACTCAAGCAAAAAAAAGACCTAAAATAACAAATAACACACACACATGTATATCTACATTGGAGGGAATCACCACAAGACAGGAGTTGGTATTTGTCCATGGGAACCCTTCTTCTGACCATACTATAAGCGATAATGTTCGGACCGAAAATATGGATGGCCTCGCAGCTCCTATTCAGGAAGCATCAGGTACAAAGGTGACAATTCATACTTCACATACGCTGGAACCTATTATTGTGGCAACAACTTTCTTTCATTCTATTGCGGTTCTAATATCTAATCATACCTAAGATCACATGAGTCAGCCTTCAGATGAAGAATGACAAGTTTACACTTCTCGGCGGAAGAAGAAGGCTGGGAGCACACTCCAACTTGAAAACTTAATGTATAATACTTTGGTTAGTCCTGACAATGACACGAGGCAGAACTAAACTGGTTCATCTCAAGCTACTTGTTTTCTGCATGTTTGAAATTTTTTTGAGTTTACCTGTATCTTTTTTGTTGAGGTATTACTGTACTTGGTATCGTATGGGTAAAGTGCCTCTATTGGGCCTTCTCATAGAACCTTTATATATCTTTTCTATTTCAATAAAATCAGCCCTTAGTCTTTTCATATATATATATATATATGTGTATGTATATATATGTATGTATTGTGTGTGTGTGTGTGTGTGTGCGCGCGCGTGTGTTAATAGGGCAAAGAGGACAGGGTCATATTTGGAGGGAACCATGTGAAAGGGAAGACAACTCGATCCTTCTGCCACCTAGACCGAGACGGTCGACATACAACATTTGTTGCGCCGGGACGAGAACGACACCCTTGCTCCAGGCATGGCCGAGTCTGCACTTTTGACTTTCAACATCAAGGCTCGTTCGCAAGCAAGTTTGTCGCTATGCGTCAATCTCCTGGGATTGAGGGAGATCGACCTCATCCATCAAAACATTTATCTCCTCGTAGTACAACGTCAGGTCGGCCCAGCTATAGATAGCGAAAAATAGTGTATTATCCTAGTAAGTCGATCTTGTAGGTGTTATCACTCAAAAGCTCATCCGAATAGAATAAGAATCTATCATTTTTTGGCACAATCAGAGTTGAAGCAGCACATCGATGTGGATTTTCATAAAGTAACTCTCGAGTCCCTAGATTTGTAATTTGTTTATTCCACTCATACTCGGTTGGATATATCTGCTAAACAAGTTTGTCAAAAGGGACAAAATCTGGAACAACATCTCTGGCAGGTTAGAACACACAAAACTGAAAGGACCTAGATCCCAGTGTATAATGTTCCTTCCCGCATAGATCTCGAGGTGGTCTCCAACATTGCAGTTCATCCGTCTTAGTTCGATCCTCAGTCGAAGGTACAATGTTGCAATAATTTTAATACCCAAATGAAATCTTATAAGCTTTCAGAAGAGGCTCAAAAGAGTCTCAACTCAGACGTATAACACCTACCTCAGCAAGACCAACTCAAGAAGTATCCTATAAATCTAAAAAGCCTTCATTTCTTTTATTTGGAGTTGCCCTGTTTCTGATATTCACTCATCAAACTCATGGCTCTTTTAGACATTCAATATCAGCCATGTTGATGCTCCTCTCAACACTTGCAAAATGATAGCTCAAAACACCAGAATCACATACCTTGAATGAACGCTCATTACATCAAACTCACAACTTTCTAGAAAGGTTACTGCCAACTCAGCTCAAATTTCTATCTCTTGGGCTCCT